TGGAGGCGGGGCGGGGGCAGGGCAGGGCAGACAATGGGCCGCGCAGTGAGTGTCCCCCGCTCCGTCTCCCCGCGCCGGCGGCTTTGAACGGCACAAAGGGGCCCGGCTACTGAGCGGGAAACGCCAGGAGCCAGAGACTGAAGCGGGAGCTGCAGGACACAGAGCCAGGTGGGTGATTAAAGGGATGTCAGGTGCATTATGGGAGATGTGCTCCTGCTCTGCCGGCCTTGGCAGCTACCTCTCAAAGGGGAGTGGAGAACGGAGTCGGCTCCGGCACAGGCCCCTGTGGTGAGTGCGGGACCTGGCGTACTGAGCGGGAAACGCCAGGAGCCAGAGACTGAAGCGGGAGCTGCAGGACACAGAGCCAGGTGGGTGATTAAAGGGATGTCAGGTGCATTATGGGAGATGTGCTCCTGCTCTGCCGGCCTTGGCAGCTACCTCTCAAAGGGGAGTGGAGAACGGAGTCGGCTCCGGCACAGGCCCCTGTGGTGAGTGCGGGACCTGGCGGGGGGAGTGGGGACGGACTGGGCGGATGCGGGTGGGGCTGGGCCATGCCAGAGTCTTCTGTGAGTGTGGTGTGGGCATGGGTATGTGTGTGTGTGTGCAACAGGACGTGTGTGTGTGTGCGCATGCATGCAACAGGATGTGTATGTGTGCATGTTGTAATACGAATTAGTGCATTTCAGATGAATGTCTCCCAGTTCTTCAGAGGGACTATTTCATTTACAATGATTCAGAATGATCCTTGCTGGAGAAATTCTAACATTCATTCGTGGGTATGTGTGTGTAACTGGATGTGTGTGTGTGCGCACGCGTGTGCGTGCATGCAACAGGATGTGTATGTGTGCATGGGTGTGCGTGCAACAGGATGTGTATGTGTGCATGGGCGTGCGTGCATGTATATGTGTGCGCAAAGGTGAGTGTGTATACTATTATCTGTTTGGGTACTGTGTGTTTTGTGTGCCCATTTGGGCTTGTACTAGTCTGTGCATGGATGTGTATGTGTGCGGGGGTGTGTGCATGTGCAAAGGTGAGTGTGTGTACAATTGTCTGTGTGCTGTGTGTTTTGTGTGCCCATTTGGGCTTGCACCTGTCTGAGTGTGGTGGTGTGTGTGTGAGTGCCTGTGTGTGTCTATTTGCTTGGCTATGAGTGCACGCAGGGGCAGGGGCAGGGGCAGGGGCAGGGGCCGGGGCGTGCGTGTGTGTGTGACTATGTGTCTGTGGGCTTGTAGGGGTTAGGGAGCGCGGATTTGTGTCTGCACAATGCTGCCCACTGGTGGACACAATCTGAACCGTTCAGCCCTGTGCCCTGCACCCCACACTGTTCCCAGCCAGTGGGGATTCTCCAGTGACTGGCTGAAAGGGCCGGAATGGGAATAACACTAATATCTGGGCTGCACTTTGCCCCTGGAATACAGGAGCACGCGGGGCAGGTGCTCTGCATAATCCCGTCCTGTCGAGCGGGAATTAACTCCATCCCCAGAACGGCGTCCGGCGTGGGGCAGCTCCAGCAGCCTTACTGTCTGCCTTGGCTCATCGCTCGCAGGAGAGTCCTAGTTTTAAATCCCCCCACCCCCCGCTGGCTCCTCCCGGATCTAACTTTAGAAGCGGAAGCAGGCAGTGCTGAGATGATCAGATTATACAGGAATCTCTCCCCCACCCCCACGCATGGGGACCATGACGACACTCCCCACGGGGTGGGGGTGGGGTGAGACGTAAGTCTGTGCAAAGGCTCCCGTGCAAAGTGCACTCGGCTGGTTCTGAGCACGGCAGCCCCCTCCATGCACTTCCACCTCTGCTGCGTCCTCTTAACAAGCCCCTCGCCTGCTCCGGTGACATGGCTTTCCCCAGTGCCAGCAAGAGACAGGCCATGCCCCCTGTCTAAACAGGAGGAGGGAAACCGAGGCACGGAGAGGGGAAATGACTCACCCAAAGTCACACAGCGGCAGAGGCAGGAATATATCCCAGGAGTGCTGACTCCCAGCCTTCTCTGCTCTAACCGCTAGACCCCACTCCCTGCCTAGAGCGGGGGGTGGAACCCAGGAGCCCTGACTCCTCCCCTCCATTCATTACACACCTGGGGTAGCTCCACCAAGCCCAGATCCTGCTCTCCCCTGCACCAGGTGTGACCCCACTGGGCTGCAGTCCATCATCTCCCCCCCCCCGCCCCGAGTCCCTGCATCCAGCCCCCTCTGGTCAACGCCTCAGCGGAGCTGCAAAGGGATCAGATTAGCTTTTGGGTCCCATGTGCCCCCACGCCCCCTTTGAAGTTCCCTGGGCTGGCGCCTGCCCCGGTCCCCAGAGCCCCCTCTCTGGGAGGCCTGGGCGAGCACCTCAGGGGGCACCGGGTGGAAGGGCAGGGAAGGGACGGTGCAGTGGGGCAAAGGAGCAACACAGGGAGCAGCAGCATCCGGGGAGCTCCCCAACGAGGCCCCTCGGGCTCCGCACCGACGGGTGAGCCGCAGGGCCCACCCGCAGAGGGGCCCAGCGGCCCCAGCGCCCCCTGGAGCAAAGTGGGCACAAGAGCTTAGTGAGAAGAACGGCCCCAACCACCCCCCCCGAGCTGGGAGTGGCCCTCTGCCCCCCTGGCCCTGCAGCATCACGGAGAGCACTGGGGGGGACGTGTCCCCTCCGGCCCCGAGGGGAGACACCAGGCAGTGCAGGCTCCGGAGCCTGGGAGAACCCAGGGTCTGTCTGCGTCCCTGAGGCAGCTGAGATTGGATGCCCCTTGGGGACCCCCCGAACCCCTCTCCCCCCAGCAGCCCCACCCACTGCGGCGCCCCCGGCCTACCTTGTGTGGCTGAGGTGACGAGGACGGCGGTGACACACAGGCTCCAGAAGGCGTGGGCCCGAG